CATGTATGATTGTATTTATTTTTTTCTACATTATTTTCTACATAATTTTTTTATTTATCCAAACATTTATTTCAACATTTGTGAATTCTTCTAAATAATTCACAAATAGTGAAAGTATAAATACGGTATGTGTCACTGGAAAATGTCTCATCAGAAAATGTCTATGTATATGTTTCTAAGTACACTTTTTGACATTTATTTGTAAAATGTTTATTTGTTTAGTTCTCCATAATAGGGGTGTGTAATTTGACCAAAATCTTTTCATGACACAAGTAATTTCATTTAATGACAAAGAAATACATATTACAATTCAGTTATTTTTGCAGCAGGAATATTAGGCTGCTGCCACTTTAAGATCCAATGCACGGTTCAAATATATTGATAAATTATATCAATTTTTTTCCCCAACAGTTTACACTTACTTAGGATATAATCGATTCTGTTTATATAAATTCTCACCAAGACAGACATATTTTTGTGTCGTTCAAGCAAAACAAGCTGCAAAAGAGAACGTCTCGGTTACTTGTGTAACCCTCGTTCCCTGAAGGAGGGAACAGAGACGTTACATCAGTCGAGACTGACGAATTGGGATCTCGCCCGAGAGCCCAATCACCTTCGAGTGTTAACTAAACAAGTCAATGACAGTTGGCGTGCGTGTTTCGCCACGCACACCCCGCCCCGCAGCACGGGTATAAAAGTAGAGCACGTGCAAACGCACATCAGTTTTTTTTCGCTGAGGAGCCGAGACTACGTGCCCTGGCCGTACAGCGGTGGTACAGCAACTGTGGCGACGGGACGTAATGTCTCCATTCCCTCCTTCAGGGAACGAGGGTTACACAAGTAATCGAGATAAGCTAAGACTATAGCCTCCACTAACCAGTGGGCAAGTCTTTGTTTGGAGACAGCCTTTCCCTTCTGCTGTCCTCCGAAGCAGACAAAGAGCTGGTCTGAGGTCCTGAAGCTCCGCGTACGGTCCACGTAAATGCGCAGAGCGCGAACGGGACAGAGCAGAGCGATGGCTGGGTCTGCCTCCTCCCGGGGCAGCACTTGCAGATTTAACCTCCTTGCCCCTCTGAGAAACCTGATGACCAAGTCGTGCTTCCCCAAAGACTTATAGCACGCTCGACTGGGGGGGATGTCCACATACCTGTAAGGGAAACAGGTAAATTTAGCTCAAAGGGAATCATTTAAGATTTTAAAGGGAACTCCACCATTAATATGTAAGGGAATTAGGACAGAATCAGGAAGTCAATTTACGGGGCTCGTGACTGCGTTTACTATCACGTGAGGGTCATGTGGTCATCTCTTTGACCATTTAATCTTGATTACTTGCTCCAAAATTGACAATCTCCTTCCTGAATTGTTATGATCAGTGTGTTCCTTTTGTTTTAATGTTGAAAACTGTTCTGTGAAAGAGTTTGTTAGCCTTGCTTCAGACTGGCTAGTGCTCGGGTCTGATTTATGACATCCTGTTGTCTTGGGCCTCTTGTGGAATGTTTTGACTCCTCGTGCCTCAACCATGTTTTGATGAAATCTGAGATTGTCTGATTCGGTCTGATATCCTACATACCCTTGGGCCGTTCCCCCGTTGAGGGTGGTGAGGACGGAGGAGGCACCAAGTCTGTTTCGGGCAGAAAAAGGTGCCTTCCAAGACTTAGTAACCTCCTCATGCATTTCCGGGAAGAATGGAAGCTCGTGAAGCTCTTTTAGAGAGAGTGCTGAAGCACCCAGGGGAGGTTGCGGCGAGACCGCAGAATGGCAGCTGCAGCACGCCGAAGATGAGCAGCACTGAATGGCAACTCCCGCTGACGCGCCGTAACACCAACGCTAGGCTGTTTCTTTGCAGACACTCGCAGAGATTCGTCCTAGTAGAAGGCTCAGTTCCGAAG